TAATAATAATACTATATAAACGTTCGCTAGATTAAAATATTTATATTAAGTTAAACTGTTTATTAAGATTACTTGTATTATAATTATATTAAAAAGCAATATAAATTTCCCAAATTACCTGTACAAATCACAATCAAATTAAGCTATATAAATCCATTGAATGTAAGCAAATCAATTATGTCTTCATTAATTTAAACTTAATTGGATTTACTGGTGAAGATGTATCATATCAAACATTTCATTGATTTATTTGTAATTAAATTATTATTTGTATTAAAACGATTTCAAAGGTTTTGGTGTTTGGAAACTAATATACTCGTATCAATATAGAAATTGATTGAATGTTTGATTGAGTTTAGGATCCCAAATTTTACTTGCAAATAGGAAATATGTATGTATAACTATTCATATGGTTTTATATAAAACCTACATTGCAGTCGGGGGACCGTTCTGTGGAAAATTCGTTATCAATTTTTTTTTTAGCCAAGCCATAATACAACTTGTTTCTTTTATTTTAAGTTCGATTATGACAGTCGTGTATTTAATTTTTAAATTATCTCTTTTGTAATCAATTATGCGTATGAGTTGCTGCAATTTCTGACCTTTCACGAGTATCACAGAAAAAAAGAATTGTCTAGTAATAAATATAGTTCGTTCGAATAGTTCGAATTAATATAAATTAATATTATTTATAGTCTATTATCAGTCATCGTAAGGCATCGGTCGGTGTCCACTCGGGCAACGATAAAATTCAATTTGACCTGTATTTTTTTCGTACATTTTTTTAAAAAGCGTAAATTGTCGGGGCTGCGACGCTATGTGTGAGCTGATCGCTTACACGTAGCGTCGAAGCCGCGACATTTATTATGCACGTCATACTTCTCCGTGTAATTTAGTTTGCTTTCGTGTTCACGTGAAAAAACGTCGTAAAATGTAATAATATCGTATATTTTCAGTTTTATTTTGGTTGGAGTTCCTATTTGGAAAACATGGTTTGGTTTATTATAATTATAAAAAATAATAACACTTTTAAGATTATCATTTTTTATAATTAAAAAACAATATTTCTTATTCATAGTTGATGCATTAAAAAATGAAAAATTTAATCGAAAATTTGAAACTTAACAATCTTTAACTATACTCATACAGTGCTATTAAAAACAAGGTTTAGCGTTGGAGTTACTCCAACACAAATTTTACACTAGAATTGCTATTTTAGTATTAGTCCAAATTCATACTAGACAGAGAATAAGCAAACATACTACCTTCTAGGAGTAAAAATACCTCCCGTAGAACCATATACTAAGTTTACTTTTTCCAAATCTCTGTTTAAAAATATGAATTTTGACTAATACTGAGTGCAGTTTTAGCGTAAATTTACTCCAATGCTAAACCTTGTTTATTAATAACACTGTTATAGTACTGTTAATAAACAAAGTTTAGTGTCAGAGTAGATTTACGCTAAAATTGCAATTTTTGTATCAGTCCAAATTCATATTTTAAAAAGAATAAGCAAACCTACTATTACTACTATCTTCTAGGAGTAAAAATTACTCCCGTATAACCGCGTACTAGATACTTCGCTGTCTTTGTTTAATAATATGAATTTTGACTAATACTAAGTGCAGTCTCAGCATAAACTTACTGTAACGCTAAACCTTGTTTATTAATAACACTGCTTAAGTTGTACCTATGTATAATTATTTATTCAATCGATAACGACTCAATTTCGTGTACCTAATTTAACTCAGAAATAATTTACAGTCTTCATTAATTTCCTAAATCAGCTTAGGTATTTCTCCGTAATAGGACCCGGTGAACTCCTTGCTGGATCCCGGGTCCTTCCTCCTAGGAAGCGGACTTGCAGCGGGTTTAGCCAGGTAGGCCGATCCCGCTTAAGCCTGACCTTTTCAAGTTAAAAGAGCTGGTTTAAGGCTTAAGGTGCATTTCTCCTGCGTTATCAAAAAAAAGGTAATTCTCTGAAAATGAAATTTTCGTCTCCAAACTAACGTATTTATCTGTGATTTGTTATGCAACTGAGGTATAACAGGATCTGACACTGATTTGGCTCTCGGCTATCTTGTTTACATTTTATCGAAATTCTTTGTCTATTTTAAGTTAAAAATAAACATTTTTCCATCTTTATAAAGCTTTATGAAACCTTCTTTACGAAACCGATCATAAAATATCAAAACATAACTCCATTAATACTCACCTATAACAAATATAAGTACCATACATGCAACAGATTTCCTAGCCTTAGCTTGTGCCTCTCCTTGGCCACCGTGAAAGGCTCCAGGCATTTCCTTGGTACTAGCCAGCAATCTTTTTGCCATCAGTGAATAAAACAACGCTATGACAAGTAAAGGGAGGCCGTAGTATACAACAGCTTTGGCTAATACCATCCACCTGTAAAAAAATACATAAAGTGATTATTCTTCATTAACATATTAGGGGTTAAATTATGAAATTGCCGTTTTACTGTTATAGGTTCCTTGAACTGATATAGAATCTTCATGGTTTGAGGTTTTCGAAAGAAACTTCATTCAAATGGTTTCTATGATGTTCTTCTTTTAAAAATGTGAAACATTTGAATATCGACTTTCAATTGTTTTTGTTATTCAATTTAGACAAGAATGATGGAGACTGCGAAAATTCGAGTGATTTGGAGAGGGGTCTGCTAATGAACGCACCATGCGATTTTGGTTTAAACGCTTTCGTGATGGAAACTTCGACTTGAAGAACGAGCTACGAGGAAGAGCGCCCACACAGGTGAATAACAATGAATTAAGAGCTAGTCAAACTATCCAGGAATTAGCGGTATGGTTTAACCATAACGTTACCTTACCCACAATATTGACTCATTCGCATCAAATCAATAAAATAAAATAATACGAAAAATGGGTGCCTCGTGATTTGGCTGATCTGCAAAAAGAAACGCGTGTTGAAACTTGTGTTGCATTGTTGAATCGGTAAAGAAATGAAGAAATATTGGATCGAATTGTGACATGTGATGAAAAGTGGATTCTTTATGATAACCGTAAAAGAAAAATGCAATGGCTGACCCCAGGTCAAACGCCGCAAAAGTTTCCTAAAGCAAAACTTACCAATAAAGAGAAACTGTTTGGTGGTCTCAGCATGGTATTATTCACTATAGTTTTCTCCGATCTGGTCAAGCAATAACGGCAGATATCTATCGTGCCAAACTCCGTTGGCAAAACTAGCAGTAAAACAGCCCCGACTCATGAATCTATCTTCACCATTATTGCTCCATAACAACGCGAAACCTCATACAGCACGAGAAACCGTTTTGGCCCATCACCCAATGCTTCAAAATCGGACCGTCGCAGCGGTCTGCAATCACGTTCAGGAGACCATTAGTGCCACCATGCCACCAGATTCAGCGCATCAACGATGCAACGCTTTTACGAATTATTGCGTAAAAATCATTAACTCTGGCGTCTGCAAACATGCATGATACACTACAGAATTGCACTGTATCACCTTCGCTTGTACTTGACCCATAGACTGCACGAGTAAAAAAAATGTTTTGACTTCTTCCTTACATCGTGCAAATCTACGAACCAGCATGTTGCACTTGACAGCCAACGCCCTGCGCTCCCTTTCTATGTCTGAATCATCTAACAGGTCTTCAGTGACCAAATGGCCCAAATACTTAAAATGCAAGACTCTACTTAATAGCATACCACTTAATTTAATGGGCGGAATTTGATAACCGTTTTGTCAACATTATATCTGAGACCATGAGCCAACGCGTTCTGCTCACAAAATTGCAGCAGCTTTCTGGGGGAATCGAAGGGCTCAGCAAGACCATGTCATCTGTTTAACTAATATTATTAAAAGAATGTCCATCGACTGAACAGTCGAGACCACAGTCACTGAACTTAACAATAAGTCAGTTCATATAAAGATTAAAGGGCATTGGTGAAGTTATTCCCCCTTTCCTCACTCCACACTCCAACCCGTACAAATCCGACATCGTGCTGGACCATCTTACATAATTTGTTTGATTTTCATACCAATATCTAAACACATTAACAAGTTCTGGTAGCATAGTCGTATCGTGGGCCATCTTGGACCATAAATGCTCATAGGATACCAGATCGAATGCCTTCGATAAATCTATGAAACATGCATATATAGGTGTATTTCTACTAGTATAATAACTGACTGTGTGTTTTAAATAAAGAATTGCGCTTTCAGTGGATAGCTTAGATCGAATTTAGTCTGTCCGATTTGTTTTATATAACTTGTATGATAATATGATTAGCCCCGTCTCACGTGTAAAACTAATATCTAGTTACCCGCCTCGTCTGTGGCGTTACGTCACATGGCGAGAGTCAAATATAGCTGCCGGGTAAGTTGTGTTTTATGTTAAATTAAATTTCTTAATTGTCTAGATACATTTCTGTCCTTTATGAAAATAATTTGTTACGTATCACATAATAATGGAACTAATTTTATGTCTTTTTTTTTTTCAAAAGATACACAAATATCAATATTTGTTAAAATATGACGTACTTAATTATCTCACAACCTATAATTGCTATAAAAGTAAAGCGATTCCCTAAAAGAACACATTTTGTAATAGCGTCTGTCTCGAGTCTAGGATTAAAACTCCAGATCACAGTTTTGTTTAGATTAAATTTGTTTAGCACGTGAGAAAATTAAATGAACAATTCAAGTATAAGATGCGTTTATAAATTATTTATAAAATGTACCTACCGTTCAGAGATAGCCAGTCATAAAATGTTTATCACCGCTGTTTATATTAACTTTATGTAACATTTACTACCTGTACTGTACTTAACAAGATAATTTATGTATCTAAAAAATGTCACGTTATATTATCATTTACATACTAAATAAATTAGTAACAGGTCTCCACGCTATACCACACCTGTTATTCCAGCAGGAGCTTAGACTTTTATTTTAACCAAAATAATGTGTACTCTATTTGAATAGTATTAAATTCTTACTTTGGGTAGTCGTCCCATCCAGGAGGGTATGGCGTGCAATAAACTATAGTGACGTTGTTATCTAATTCTTTAGTTGGTGTATTAGAGAATAGGGCTGCTGGAGCTGCAAAGATAAGAGCGGCTGCCCATATAAAAGTTGCACACATCAAGGGCAGTTTACGTAGCTGTAACAAAGAAAAATCATATTAAAAAATCAAAAAAAAATAGTCGCTAGGTGGCGCAGTGTAAAAGCGCCGCGGCCCACAATCGTCGTTGTTAAGCAACTTTCGCAGGGATCGGTCTAGGATGGGTGACCAAAAAAAGAAAAATATTTTCTTGAGCTACTTCGTGCTTCGGTAGGCACGTTAAGCAGTTGGTCCAGACTGCGTTTATAGTCGTTAACACCCGCCAATTAGCATTAGGCCAGCGTGGAAAGTCACGGCCCATCCAATCTTTAGCCATCCATAAATTAAGGAGCAAACCACAGAAAGAAATATATTATTGCCACGTAATTGATGCAGTATCGAAACATTAATTCCAGTCGTACTAGCTTTGTCCCCGATGTCACAGCCAATTTATTTGATACAACAAACTTTTTCTACTCAATGGGTTTTTGTGTATCCAAATCTACCCCAAATTAGGCATTTTCGACTCAACACAAAGACATGCTTTTATACAATACGACTTGTCACATGTAAGTTAAGTACTAATATAAAATATTTAAACAATTATAATATGTATGAAAAGAGTAATGAAAATAGTGTAGGCAAAAAATGAACAAAGACCATGTCTTGTGGCACTCGTCCACTTTGCTTACCCCGCTAAGAAAACGAAGTAAAGATAAAGATAGATAGAAAAAAATAGGTAATCAACTTGTTGAATAAATGCTTGTATAAATGTCTATATGGACTTTTAAATATGTGTTTTGTATTATGTAATCTTGTATCGTAAGTATGTATAAGTATAACACAAAATTCCTGCTTCCTTAAAATTTCTCGAATTACAATTTTTATAAAAAAAATTGACTGTTTTTGTACACACGAAATAATATTATACTTTGGAGAACATGCATGTTGCCGAAATAATGTTATGTTATCTGCGTGATTATGTTCCGACCTTGGGAGAGCTTTTAGTTTTAGCTTATTCTGAAACACTGCCAGATCCTTATATATTTAGTGAAATTTCTAGATAAATATTTTTACATAACATTTTCAAAAATATTGTAACTTTGAGCTGCTCATTAGTTTCATAAAAAGTTATTACAAATCGACAATTGCCTAAACATAAAAAAAAAATATTCATCTGCGATCAAAGAAAGCTCTTTCTGCATTTTCGTAAAAGACTTGTTTTTAATTGTGTTAGGAGTTGCCTAATGAATATCAACGTATGTCAATCAGCCTTAGCTATCAGCAGTGAAATGAGAAGCGAATACTGATTGAGCGATTGGTTAAGTACATTAAGTCTTGAAGAGGGTAAATAGGCCTTCAGATCTGTTTAGCTTATTTTATGGGTCGACGAAGCATTATCCATGTTGCTTAACAAGTAGATAGTGCTTTTCCACAGTTTTAACAAAAGATAAAAGTAACAAAATATCAATTTTTTTCTAAAGCGTGGCTTGGCAAGATAAATGTAAAAAAAAGTCCAACCAGGCTAAGTAATATTCATTAAATTTTATATGTAATGAGAGTGTGTTCGTTATATTTTCAATGAAAAATTATTTTCTAACCAGCACCAATATGCTCACTAGCACCATTTTGTGAAAATCTCCAAACATCATTTAACTTGGCATGGAAACAAGAATATTATATAAAATAAAAGAAATAGAACCAACTTCAAACTTTTTAACTGATAAATAATATACCAAAAGCAACTTATTCAAGAAAATGCTATTGAAATTGGGCGAAGGTCTTCTGTTAGGTTTATTAATTAAATGATACTTCAATTGTAATTTTCTTGAATAAGTTGCTATAAGTGTTATATATCACCTTTTTAAAGTTCTATTTTTTCTTTAAGTTTTTATTTCATGCTTTTTAGTGATATTAATATTTTGTATATAATAGGTAGCAATAGAAATATTGAATACTAGCTCTCCGCCTGCAGCTTCACCCGCGTGATACCTACGGAATTGTTTATGTGGATGTCGAACATATCACGAGATCATATCATGAGACGGATATGATTACCAAACCAAACCAACTTGCTGAGCACTTACGATTGTCGAACAGGATCAATTTCTCGACACAAGTAATAATTCGGTTCAGAATTCCTTCATTTGTATGCCTGTTGAGCAGTGCAAGGCACGTTGTTGGCGATCATTCAGTTCGTGGGGTACTCTTTTTTACCTTGCCAATTTGACGCAAATGGACCAATATTATTTTGATGCTAACATCGAAAGCTGCTGTTAATTCAGCCGTAGATTGAGTTTCATCGGCTTCCACAATCGCCTTTAATTCATCATTGTCGACCAAAGTTTTCGGACGATCACGGGGTTAATTTTTCACGTCAGAATTTCTAGAACGGAAGCGAGCAAACCAATAACAGGTGATGAGTTCGTTTGTGGTGTTCGCATCGTAAACGTCGTTGATGTTGCGTGCCGCTTGTACCGTTTTGCTGCTACGATGGTACTCATACTTCATAATTACTCGAATTTTTAACTTATCCATCACGACGAAAAATATTTCAATGCAAACAAAACACTAACTATTAAACACATGACGACTTTAGAAAAAATAAAATACATGTTTTCAAAATAAAATTAATTTTAAATTATCAGCCAAAAATTATATTTTCATTTGAAATGGCCAGTGCGGCAGAACGGCAATTTCATAGGTAAAGTCTTGTTATATGGGTCCAACGGTTTCGGAGCCTATCCAATGCAAACAAAAAATACGTCGTTTTTGGTTAGTTAATGACAATGTCACTAACCAAAAACGACGTATTTTTACGTGTATAAACTTTAAAATGCAAAGATCCTGTAAACGCAGCTTGCATAGAAACTGCTAGATGGCGTAGTGACGATACGTTGTTTATAGGGGCTGATTACAATTTCTTGAACTTTAAACGCTTATTACTCAAAATCGCCTTTTTTGCATTGTGTCACTATTGTTCTTAACGTGCGGTATACACGTTGTTAAGAAACTTAAGGTTAACGCAATCAACAAACATTACTATCCAATTTCGCCAAAGTTAATTCAACCACCGACGCAATTCACATCACAAATCGTAGATACTGTGAGCCCAGGTTTCTAAAGATTAACACCGCAGGCCAAAATAATTAAGTGTAACTGTTTTATTTCAAAGAAATTGGAAATCTTAGGACGAAAACCTTAATTTAAAGAAGCTTCTTCTTCAATAATTTCAATCGAATTGAGACTTAAAATAAAAGCCTTAATTAAAGATGCTCAGGTTTCTTTGGTACTGATTAAAGCATTCGTGAATTTATTTTCTATCAGTAAGGCTTTACTGTAAATTTTGTGGTACTTTTTAGTAAAGCCACATTCACTAAAATTTTCGTCGTTCTAATTGGCGTTTGAAAATGTATTAGCTAAATGGAATTAAAAATCTAAGTGTTTTTATATCTGTGAATTTTGATAGTTCATTTATTATTAATAATCATTTATTTTTATCAGCCTTCTTTTTTAGCTGTTGCTGCTTGCTTTATTATTCTGTGATAAAAATCTGCCTTAATTACCTTTAAAAGCAGGTTTTATTTGCTAAGCTCGACGTCGAGTTCAACGCTGATTTTATTACAGAATATAACATCAGATTAAGTAACGACAGATGACGTCTTAATATAGACACCTTACTCACCGTGGAACACTGGCTTAAATTTAATATAAAACATGGCGTATAAGTATAATGGCACCATTAAGAAAGTTATGTTATTTATTCATAGAATTTAGGAACTTTAAGAAGCTAATGATTACATTCCAAAAATATATATATCAACTAGTTCTTTTTTCCTTTTTAATTCTTGTTGGTAATCGTATTTTTTTTAAATTATTTAACTTAGCAAACACCTTAGTAATCTAGAGCTATTTGAAGTCAGCCACCTTCTTTATAGTTTCGACTAATTAGAAAAAAATCATGTGCTTGGAACAATGGTAACTGTATTTGCATCATACAATACCGTTTATAAGAATTACAATCCTAAGATGTAGTACAATAGTTACGATACTTTTGTTTCCAATAAAATAGGTTGAGTTTTGCTGCAGTTGATAGTATTGATAATAGTCTGAACAATTTTCAAACAAATGCAGCTAACACCGACCAAGTTTCTTTGGCAAAACGCCATTGCAGCGATGGCTAGTAACCGATATTACTGTTGATTCTATAGGTCAACATATTTATCATTATAATAGATAAGCCTCGAACTGAAATGAATTATCTATAATGATATAGTTAATAGAAAAGATTTAACTTTTTCCGTTGAAATGCCTAAACTCCGAAATTACTGGACCGATTTTAAAAACTCTCTCACCTACAGGAAGCTACATCATACTAGGTTGACATAGGCTATAACAATGGCGTAATTATAGGGTGGCAAGTCAGCAAAATGCCCAGCTAGAAGGGGCCCCCTATCAGAGGAGACTCCTTACTCCTGCATTACCCATTTATTATAACACAATTAGGAAAAAAAATAGAATATCCGATGAATTTGCCACGGACCTCAAACGGTATATTTACGCCACTAGGCTATAATTTAGTTACTAATAATAATTATGCAACTTGTTTGTTTTTTAAATTATGCAATAGGGTTGGACTGGGTAAAAAAAAGAAATTCTATTTAGTCCGTCAGTCAAATAATATAATAATATTTCTTTTTCACTTCAATTGAATAAGAAATAGCTTAAATAACGCGTTAAAGTTGAAGAATGCGAGCTTACTACGTCACAGTTTTGTAGAAAATATACTAAAACATGTTAACTCAATGTATCACTTGTATCAATTTATTGATTAAGATAAAATTACGTGTTTAATATTTCAACAATCTACCTGAAGGACAAATAAACAAATATAGTCGCCATCCTATTCCGATAATGTTTACAGAATCATCGCATATCAATATCAACTACAAGCAATTTACCATTATACTATCGACCTGCACTGCGATTTTGTAAAAATTCAGACCCGAGTTCGAATTCAAATGTGTCCAAATTTACTTCAAAAAGCGGCATCCGATCAAGCTTGAATTGATTCGTGGCATAAATAAAGCGAATTTAGAAAAGGCATAGGAAAAGAACATCTGAGACACGTATATCCAATCAATTTTGTTTAGTATTATTATACAAAAAATGGAATCAATAGAATTTCTACACTTCGAAATCGGGTCTGGATTTTTTCAGAATCGCAGAGCTAAAGTGCAATATTATTATTATATGTATGTATGTCACTATTGTGTAATGAAAATATTGCAATAATAATATTGGACTTTATTTAGAGAGTACAATGGTAAAATGCAAATAGGCGAGATTCTATTAGACAAGATTATTACATAAATATTACCAGAGTTGGCCTGCTTTTATTTTATTCAAAAATAATGTTACGCTCAGACTATTGTCAGAACCAATAAGGGTAAGGCAGATACTACAATTTGTAAGTGCACAGTTAAGGTATAGAATAAATATATGTAATACATTAAAAATATTCAGTTTTAATCATTATTTTTCGAAAAAAAAAGTGCAAATATTGTGTTAAATACAGCCTAGACTTGACGTTGAGTGCACCGCTGTTATATCATAAAGAATTACTAAAACAAAATCTTTGTTACTTTATAATAAAATTTACTGCAACTCACTTGATTGACGTCTCTATTAACAGAAATCAAAAAGTATTTTCATTATCAGTGAAAATGTACTGGGAAACAATGATTTTTGTTAGAAAGCCAAAAATTACGACAATTGTTGTATTACCTGTAGTCTTCTAAAAGGGTTTACTATAGCACAGTATCTCTCCGCAGATAAAGCGGTCAGTGTAAACACTGATACTCCGATGCTGACATCCTTCGCCGACTCTGATATTCTGCATATCAGCTCCCCCCAAGGCCATGATTCCAATGTGTAAATAACGGAGGCGAACGGTACGCATATGAGGATCACCAGTAAGTCAGCTAGAGCCAATGAAAATATGTACCTGCAAAGTTATAATAATATGTAATAGGTAAACAGTGATTCAGTACCTGCGTTTCAACTCCCGTGAAGTTTCTTTAATCTTCGTGAACTACATATTGTTTACCTGGGCATAACGTATTCGGTCTAGTTTTAGATTGACGAAAAGACTTAAGAAAATAATTTTTCTTGAGTCATTAAGAGTCAATAAGAAGAAAATATTTTTTTTTGAGTCCCTCCATGTTTTGAAAAGCACTTTGTCGTATTTGCATACGTCGTTTACACAAAAATAAATTATAGTAGATGACGGAGTGTAACCCATATTTTACACAAACTCAACTAAGTTGAGTTTAATTCTATCAAACAGTTTTCAATTCAATAATTATAGTTAGTAGCATCCATAAAGACGCGGCAATCTTTTATTTTCTAAAGACGTGACCCCAACCTCGGTTTACTTTTTTCTTCAAAGTTACGATTTTATTATTTCATTTATTTTAATACCCTATAGATATATGGGCATAACTCGAGGATCACCTGAGATTTAAAACTATAATTAAATAAACGAATAGGAAGATAGATTCCTATCTATCATAGTGAAATCATCCGAAAGTAGTTCCCATAGGGTATTCCAGATAAATTAAAAACAAATGAGGGGATTTCATCCATCATAGTTAACAACAACAATCCAGTTCTCATTTCACTAAAAGCAAACGCCTTTGTGGGAATGAATGCGATAACTGGGAAACAGTTTCCTTTTTTTTTAGGGAACAAAATGGTTTTCGACCGACGGGCTCACATTTGGAAAGATATTTGGGTCCGTTAGCGAATGCAAATTTGTGGGATGACACGGGTAAAGGTCGAATATTTGCTGATTTTATCATTTCTGTATACCGATATTAATTAAAAACAAGATGAATGACTGAATCAGCGGATGGATTAAATAGGATCCATTAATTCAGATAAATGAGTTTACTACCACTTAACCTAATTAAAATTCATGTGCTATACTTAATGATACAACAGTTAAGAGTTGGATACTCAGGCGATTGATGCCGTTCGTCAAAGCTGGGACTGCGTTTACATCAAATAAACGCTAATTTACAATAGGTATTTTTTCCGGCGCAGAATATTTATTTATTAATTTACACTTCATTGTACTACACACTGTGGATATATATAGAACAATACAAACATTAAAATTCTAACTACAATAGGCGGCCTTATTGCTTAATAGCGATTTAGCGAGAAAAATGAAAAATAAGCGAGGGTAAAGTGTGCGCATTGCAAAATTAAAATTATTTATTTGAGTAGAAGCGTACAAAACTTTATAATTATATAGTTCATAATTACAATAATAAATAATAATACATTAATGAAAATATATGAAAAAATATAAAAATAACAGTAAATTAATCAGACGCAAGGAAGAACAATAATTATCAATGATTCGATGCTTAAAAACTAGGGACTTGAAAGACACTAACGTTTGAGCTCGTCTAATGTTTTCAGGCAAAGAATTCCATAACCGTATAGCTTGCAAAACAAAAGATTTTCTATAAAATTTTGAAAAGTTTAACGGAATATAAAGGCGGAGAATGTCAGAAAAACGCAGGGATAGCTCATGTGTAACATATAGAAATTTAAAACGTTCTTTGATATATATAGGTGTGGACAGTTCGAACAGCACCGAGTAGAGAAGGGAAAGGATATGTAAGTGTCTGCGATGTCGTATAGGGAGCCATTTTAATCTATGACGGTACTGCGATACATGGTCATATTTCCGCAGACCAAATATGTAATGCAAGAGCAATGTTGGTAGCAGTTGGTACTTGTGTACCTAATACCAACCACACATGGATGAAAATAAGACTTATTAACTGACAGAATTCTAGAAGAATTATCAAAAAACAATGGTTAATTATTTACCTATAAACAAATAATGTCAAGTCGATACGATTTTTCAGATCATCCTCTTACATTGAACACACGAAAGCAAAGAAACTTATTAAGAAGAATTTCGTTTTGAACAACAAAATGACTTAAAATTATGAGAATTGTGAGAGAGAAATATTAATACGTTTGTTTATCTGAGTTTGTGCAATAAATGTATCTAGTATGCAGTAAAGGACTTGTCTTGACCAACGACTCTTGTGCAAGACGAATCCTGAAAAAGAGAGGACGTGGCAGACTACCCACATGGCATGGAGGTCGAAACGATGAGTCGTGCACAAAATTATCAAGAGTGGAAGAGGAGAAGAGGCCTATATTCAACATATTAAAATGCCAACACGATAATGACGATGCAAAGAAGTAAATAACAAACTAAAAGGAAAAGTTGTGTGCAGACTTATGCCCCACTTTACACTCTGCTCTGTAGTGAAAATATAATTAGTAACTTACGTGTTCGGTGCATTCCTCATTCCTCTATGACGGATGTAAACTATGACCAACGTCCCATTACCAAGAACTCCTACTATAAATATGATAGCAAACATCACCGGCACCAAGTATGTTTCTAACCTTTCTTCATATGGAGTATATTCGCTGTCTGATGAGTTGGTCGAACCGTTGTTAGCAATCATTGTTATATCTGTAACAATAAATAAATATTGGTCATTTAAATTGATTAAATCCCAAAATAGTAAAAATGTTCTTGTGTGATAAGTTTAATCCGAGACTGAATTTGAATTAAGAATATTTCGTTGAAATATTAAAAAGAGCCTAAATACGTCTTACCCCAGGTTTTGTTATAAAAAAAGGTCTTGTAATTCAAGTTACTATAAAAAGGCTACTATTATTAAATTGAAGAAACAGGGCTCGGGCCTATATTCTATAGATACGTCATATCCAGAGGTCCATAGGCACTATGATTGATACCCTACTATGTTATATTTTTTCTATCCTCTTTAAAATAATTTAATTATGTATTTCGAAAAAATACTTTTTTTCTTGGAAATTATTACACATGAAATTTAATATAAATAACGTTACAAAGGAAAATGGGCAGGAGTCGGCTAAAATTACGCAAATTGCGCACTATGCATTCATTTATCAAAAATCTTCTCTTTAATTATTATTTATTTCTTTATACATAAGATTTTAAAATTATGCGGCGTTCAAAATTAACCATATTAAAACAATTGCTAAACTGACTAATTTAGACTCATGATATGACCTTAGATTAATATCAACCATGCAACAATATACTCGATAAGGCTATTTCATAGTAAATTATACGAGAATACGTTTATTCATATAGGCATAAGGATAAGTTTTCACGGAGTAAGAAATATGCATGTTTAAGCGGGGTATTCATAAATATAACAAAATGTTTGGTGGTATATATAATAAGATTCCATTAGATAAATACCTAAATATCTTAAATTAAGATTGCTAGTGACATCCGTTACAATATTTTCTTTACCGGTGAGTATATACTTACCTACTACAATGTAACTATGACTACCTACTAAGTTTCAAGTTATTAATCGACTTGACATTCGAACTTCTTACCACTACTTTTAGAAAATAAAATATTTAAACTCTGATAATGTTAGTCAGGTAATTTATTAGTGAAAGACTAGTTTTGTTCGGCCGAGACGTTTTTGAGTTTATCATTTACAATAAAAAATCCAATCTTTCCTTTTTATAATATAGGTATAGATATGTACTTTTTCACAATTAAATATTTATATCCATTATTTGAAAAACATCATTCATTTTATTGCTCTTATATACGTAAATATTATAACGACATAACCTCAAAATCTCTGTTAAATATTGAGATATTCTCAAAAATCAGCATAATTTTAAAATGGTTTTTTTCCTATTCATTCCAAAAATAATTCTCTGTCGTTTACCGATGGTTTCAACAATGTGCACGGTTACGCAAAATTAGCATAGTAGATTGCCCATTCTCCTTTAAACGGTGTTTCAATGGAAAAAGTAAACAGAAAATCAATAGTGTAAGTAGGACTGAGCTAAAAGATCAAGATAATGAGAATTTCACCAGGAAGTGGAGGTTCGGTTTGTTAATTCTTTGTTTCCCTTCCTTCGTTTTATCGTTGATTGGTTCAGAGAAATTCGGCAAAATTATGAACTATGATACTCCAATTTCAATCCTCAATTACGCAGAGCTAACGTTCCCACTGCTGGAGCTTAGATCGTCCTTATGGTTGAAATCGAAATCGAACTGTAAGCAACCACGCGAACCCATTGATTGGTGTAAGAGCTAAACGTGCGTTCTGATGTACGGAGGAGCTCAGGATGTTAAATTTTTGGTTACCTATTCTATGACCAGCAAAGCTAAAGTTGTTTAATACCCTTATTGCAGACCGAGCAAGCTATCACTGTACCATCGAGCTCCTTGACATTTAATCGGCCAAAATTCGTACCTGATTAGTGAGAATGGAAAGACTATCCTATTTTAATATCTTATGAACGAATGACTGAGGTAATTAACGCGATGTGACACGCCGGTTTTAAAGCATTGCCATTTCAGAAGTCCCGAATTGGATTCCCGATTGGTCAATGTAGAAAACAAACTTTTCTGAATTCGATTCGTGTAATCAGTATCTATCAATAATTCGCAGAAGTTTAAAAATAAATAATTTAAATTTCTGCGAATTATTTATTGATTCCCTGGATGAAATTATTTTCAGTACTCATCAACGGACAACTTATAGCAGTATATATTCTGGACATTATTATAGATTTACTACTTAACGCAAAATCAACAGATTCGTCATAAAGAAATATGCAGATAGTTAGAATTTAGAAAATGGTAAACAATGTAAATGGATTCCAATTTTAGCTTATAGCACACACAACATCTTTAATATTAACCTACACGAAAGTGACGACAATTTTGCTGAAAACTAAAGTTTCTCCAACAATTGAGTAAAGTTTTGACAGTTTTCGATTCTTAGAATGCTGAACCAGCTGCGTGGGATTTCAGCGAAATCACCCAAAGTCCACCGACTTTAATGAGAAAACTAAATGTCTGTTCGTGTCTTTTGACAAACGAATAAATTCATTTTAAATTGAGCTAATAGAAACTTCTTGAAATGTTGATTCAACTTTTAAAAACACGACCTTAAGTATTATAAGTCTGAGAAATATTTGAAGGATATTGGTGTTTTTTATCACGAATTTCACGGTCACTGAGTATTTTTAACAATATAAACTCAAAGTGAAAACATTTCTTTACGCAATTTGTTAACACTAATTAAAGTCCATTTTTTGTTACACTTAATAAAAAAACTTAAAATCTGTAAAAAATAAATATTAGAGAACATCACATATATTGCTCATATTCCAAGAAGAGAAGCTAAAGCCCCAGCAATAAAGAGCATCTGAGACCACGAAGGTGCCAAAACAACCAGACCCGAGATAATATCAAAAATTCCATTTCCAACATTGGACTCGTCCGGGAATCAAACGCTGCATCTCATACATGGCGACAACTTGAAACTGGTGTTATTAATTATTTAGGATTGAAATTAGACATTCGTAAAATTTAAAAGCTTCGCTTTGTATCTGCATCGAAGAATATACTATACTGTGCCGAAAACAAAAGAACAAAAGGTTTTTGTTTTCTTTCCCTTTTTATTTCAAGCGGGAGTAGTCAAGTTGATAAATTACCTCAGGAATAACCTCGGTTCTACATCAAACGCATCTTTTATGTCCTATACGATGTAAGTCAAGCTTAAGATAATTCAAGGATTTGCATCAAAGCTACGCTTAGCGAATAACTTCTACCAATGAATTAATGCACCAAACTCTCGGTTAAAGTTTCAGTAAGTTCTCGAACTTCTTTCTTAAATAAAAAGATAATTTAATCATAAACCTATTTCCCAGATCACGTCATTTGTATAAAATTCAGAGTCGTTTTCGTTCTCGTCATACGTCAGATGCTATTTGGATGATATACATTATTCTTAAGAGATCATGAAGTTCCTGATACTAAATAATATTTAGTAGAGTATACTTTATTTATTTCATCATCATCATCATAATCAGCCCTTTTACGTCCCCACTGCAGGGGCTCAAGCCTTTATTATGAATGGTTAAGGGGGAAGGGTAATGACCCACCTCGCTGGCTCAATACGGATTGGAGGTTATTAACGACAGCATATGCAGCCGGGAGCAATGGCTTACCGTTCCCTCTGAAGCACGAAGTAGCTCGAAGTCACCCATCCCGTGACCGACCCTTGCGAAAGTTGCTTAACACCAACGATCGCGAGTCGCGGTGCATATCCACTACACCGCCGATCTACATACCCAACTTTTATTTGTTACTAGCTAGTGCCCGCGACTTCGGCCGCGTAATCTTCATGAGATAGTTAACCGATGACTGAAAATTCAGAATCTCTTTGTACGTACACAACATTGGTTGATTTTTCTTAAGGGAGATAAACAAACCTGCACCACTACTGACTCAGCAAAAATCGGCGTACACTCTTCCGGGAGGAAAATAACCAGTCTTATCCACACTAATACTTTAAACGTCTGTCCCTATGACTTATTTATCGTCATGGCGAAGCCAGTAGCCATAGGTAACTGGGTGGGTTTGAATTTAAAAGGAAAATTGTTGGGCATAAATATAGTAAACGCGGTATTAGCACAATTTTACCTGTACCACTGCCGCGCTGCTTCGTTAATATTCATCTGTAAAGCAATAGTCATAAGCCGGGTTCCGTTGCATAACTAAGGTTGACAAAGATGGTGGATTTTGAATTTAATTCTGTGAACCACTTGCTGTATCAGCCTGTTTTCCTGTTTTCATCAGCCAAGAAATGAGCAGTTAACCAGTCGAGTTGTTCCCCACATTTCTTAAAAGAAAAGAAAGGCTACACTTTCATCTGCCGTGATTTATTGTTTGAGTTACGACCACAAAATTATCACCAGAGAGTATTAGCTTTATATTTGGTTTACGCAAATATAATACGTATCCGTTTTTCGTGCTAAGCTCTAGAGGCTGCCAATTCGTCTTCGTCGGATTGCACATATTCACACATATTCTATTTAATCCTATATCAACATCTTATCTTAAGGAATGTTTTAAATTCCTTCATGATATGCACCTAGCGTGCAGTTTTGAGGTCATGAGAGAACTTGAAATTGTCAATACCAAGCAATTCATTGATAAATCGTTTACTGTAAAAGCTGAACGTATTTGGAATGCATTGCCAGAAAATTATGAGGCGTGCTCTTCTTCTTCTTAACTTTAATGGCACTTTGCGTCACCACATTACTGCCAACTTCACGTAGAGGCGTGCTCAAAGCATACACATTTTCAAAGGATTAGTCAAAGAGCATTATCTGTCACTCGCTCTGAATCCCATCTAATTTATTATCTATCATCAAAAAGTCTATATGCATGGTTTACCATAAACTACCCTAATCTAATCTAGATATTTTGTTCAATTCGCAAGGCTACCTGGAAGAAATCACTATTTAGTAATAAGGCTGCCAATTGTACATTTAAATTTATTGAAACCATTTATTTTGTCTATGGGTGAACAATAAAGATTTTTTCATTAATTCATTAAATAATCACAACAAATAATATTACATATGCAAATCGTCAGCTTATTTAGAGGGTAATCACGATGAATTTGCCTTCATTTTATTCATAAATCATTTGTGAAAGGAGTATTATTATGTGTTAATGATGACGGAGTGAACGAAAACGCAACGTGACGTA